AATTATTCCAGAAATTTTGGGCTTTCTTTTCATCCTTTTCTGAAAACTGATGTTGTTGTTCTAAGGTCCTGAAGTCATTCCAATTGATCACAAAGCTCTTGAGGTTAAAAGTTTCCATTTTGCAAAATCACTTAAATAATTTATCTATTATTCTTCTAATCCAATCTGTTTTTGAACTTGTAGTTATCATCAGGAAGAGAAAAGGCAATAAACAATCAGGAATACATATTTGTACTCTCAGGCTCATTTTTGTTTCTCTATCGTTTGTTTTTCTGATATACTTTGTTCTATTTATGCACTTTGCGAAGCCTGAAGAATTCATTTGAGGTCTAATTTCATAAACTGATATTATACTAACAAACTTTATCTTCAGTAAGAATTCATTTATTCCTTTAGAACTTAATGCTGATGGGTAACAGTTTTTTGTAATGCGCACGTGATTGGGTTGACACAACTAATGTAGTGAAGATGCCAATGGGAAGTTCTATAAGCTAAGACAGGCTACCTTATCAGATACTAACTGCAAAGCAGAATAAGTAACTGAAAATCTGCTGAATCAAGGTGATGATGGTAATAAATATTTTTCTTTTATATACTCCTCCTGGGAGAAAAGGATGTCAGAAATCTAACTGCAGAGTAGTGCAATGTTTAAAGCACTGAATATTTGAAATTGAAATTCTGAAAATGAATGGACCTCGAGTCTGTATACATTCCAACAGATGAATAAGGAATTGTCCACACCTCATTCCTCCTGCATCTCGTGTGATCTTTTCCAAATGCAGTCCATTCAAGCATAGTTCTAATAGCATGTTCTGTTGTTGTAAAGCATTTGAAGTTCTTTGAAGGAAATAATTCTATTATTATGTACTTGATTATAAGTTATCAACATTTACAGCTATAAGCATCTACCTATGAAGTTGTTAGAGGCACTGAATTCCAGATTCCAAATGACTAACAGTGCATTAAATCTAGAATATTGTTACCTTTTAATCACATTTTTGCAGTATATGTGAATCAAAGTTGAATGAAATATTTCATTTTCATCACAACGTGATTCTGCTGTCTGACATTAATATGAGGTCAAATAAACACTGTGTGGGAAGGAAATAAATCCAAGTTTTATGTCTGAAAGGGCAGTTGTATTTCTCGAATGTTCTGAATGTCAGCTTTTTGATAGAAAACTAATACAATAGCAAGGAGTGTGTACATATGCCAGCTCGAGTTGTCTTTTGTATTCATGAAAAAGTTTAATTTCTTTGAATCCTTTGTTTTCTATTCAGCAGTATCTTCTGGCATTTATAATGTTTCTCTTAAACTGCAGTTAATGAAAGGCTCTGAAAGGTCAGTCATTCTTTACTATTTAAAATAAAATAAAGCTAAGATAATACGTATTATTTAATACAACGGAATTTTATGTTTCATGCATGTTTTTGAAAATGAATTTCTCTTAAAGTTTTGGTATAATATGGTATTGGGTAGAAACTTCTGAGTTCAACTGAAAAAATATTATGCTTAGTGTCCTAATAATACAGAAGACTTAAATACCTGAGTTCCATTATATCTTATAACAATGGCGAAGTTCTCATTCAGAGGTATCTAGATTAATGCTGTTATCCTGTGACATACATGCGGTAGCAATTGAAATCAAATGTTTAAAAGCATATGAGTAAACTAATATTAAATAGCTGAGAATAGGCAGTATTCTCTTCATAATGCCAAACACTTTATTTAGTATTTGCGATAATAAGAAATAAACGTGAACTTTAGTCTTAGACTTTCCGCAGGAAGTTTTGTTTTATGATTTCATTCAGTGCCCACAGTTATTTTTGATCAAAAGCTAAGGCTGCCGCTCTTCCTTGCTAAAATGGGTCATAGTGCTCAGCAGATTTATCTGGCGCTCTTTGTAGGGTTACTTTGGAATGACCTGAATTTTCTATACTTTAGTCCTGGATGTGCAACGTACCTATTTTATTTTTGCTACCTGTTCCTAAAGAACTTAAGTCATATTTTTCAGTGCATTGAGTAACAATTTTCTTTGGGATGATGCTTCTAGATTGAACTAGCATTGTTATAAGCATTTGCTTTAACTTAAGTGAAACATGGGAAAAGTTGACAAGAGTAAAAGTAGTTGCAACTTCCAGTAGTTCACAAGACAGCACACTTCTCTTAGAACATTTGTCTCCAGTCCTCTTATGGCTTAAAGATTTGATGCTGCATGAGGCACTACTATTTTCACTTCCACTTCAGAGTTCACCATAGATTAGCACACATCTGTTTACTTCAAGGTTGCCCAGTTCCTAAATTATTTTTGTCCTAAATCTTCAGACAAGACAGAAAAGAGAGTTTAGTTTTACAATGCTGATACTCATAGAATCACCAAGGTTGGAAAAGGCCTAAAAGATCACCCAGTCCAACCGTTTGCCTATTCCCAGTAGCTCCCACTAAACCATGTCCCTCAACACAACATCCAGTCTTTCCTTGAACACCCCCAGGCTCGGTGACTCCACCACCTCCCTGGGCAGTCCATTCCAGTGCCTGACCACCCTTTCTGAAAAGTAATGCTTCCTAATGTCCAGCCCCTGCCGTAGCTTGAAACCGTTCCCCCTGGTCCTATCACTAATGACACGAGAGAAGAGGCCGACCCCCAGCTCACTACAACCTCCCTTCAGGAAGTTATAGAGAGCAATAAGGTCTCCCCTGAGCCTCCTCTTCTCCAGGCTGAACATTCCCAGCTCCTTCAGCCTCTCCTCATATGGCCTGTGTTCCAGACCCCTCACCAGCTTTGTTGCCCTTCTTTGAACACGTTCCAGGGCCTCAATATCTTTCTTGCAGTGGGGGGCCCAAAACTGGACACAGTACTCGAGGTGCGGCCTCACGAGTGCTGAATATAGGGGAACAATCACCTCTCTGCTCCTGCTTGCAACACTGTTTCTGATGCAAGCCAGGATGCCATTGGCCTTCTTGGCCACCTGGGCACACTGCTGGCTCCTGTTCAGCCCAGCATCCATCAATACCCCCAGGTCCGTTTCCTCTACGCAGTCCTCCAGCCACACCGCCCCCTGGGGTTGTTGTAGCCAAAGTGCAGGACCCGGCATTTGGCCTTGTTGAAACTCATCCCATTGGCTCCAGCCCAGCTCTCCAGCCTGTCCAGATCCCTCTGTAGGGCCTCGCTACCCCCAGGCAGATCCACACTTCCAGCCAATCTGGTGTCATCTGCGAATTTACTGAGGGTGCACTCGATGCCCTCATCGAGGTCATCAATAAAGATATTGAAGAGGACAGGCCCCAGCACCGACCCCTGGGGAACAGGGGTCTCAACTGATACTATAACTTGCAAGGCATTTGAAGACAACAGTACATCAAGTGCTTTTTTTTTTACAAGTTCTTCAAAAACACAGCAATAAGAATTTTTATTTTGCCTACTGAATTAAGTAAAAGAAAAAAATTTCTATTGTAGATAACCCAGTAGGCAAAAATATTCCCCAAACCCAGGAAAATGTTAGTCTATATTCTCACGTGAGCCAGATAAGCTCTGGGAGCACAAAGGAGCTATTGAAGTTACCCCCAGCCACAGAGCAGCCTCACAGTGTGCTAGCTAGGGGCATAAACTACTGCTTTTCAAAGGAATAGTGATGCGAATCCCTTTGCACAGTGCTGATGCTCACCTTTCCTTGCACTTGCAGATTGGACTATATAGCAATAAGGAGTGGAGGGGGGCTGACAAATGCTAGATTTAAGGTTTTGGCATAGAGTAACTTTTTCTTTATTTTTATATATATATATATTTCAGGTGTATCCTACTTTCTAAAGGTAGATGATTGGGTGTCAAACCATCCTTCTAACTTCAACTAATGTATTTTTTTTTTTTTAAAAGCAAAACTGAAGGTCATATAGGATGTAATTGGTTTTGAGCTTTTTTTCTTAATTAGGATTTCAATACTTATAATTGTTTTCATTGTTCTTAAAGCAGAGAAACAACCGTGAGTGGAAAGAAAAGTTTTAGCAATCCCTAGTTATTTCTTTGAATAAAGACTGAGATAGAAAGGATTTAATCTCATCCTCTTTCATTATTGCTTGTGAAATGAGGTGAGAATATGTAATCCTCATACTTACAGCAGTGGCTCAGTCAGGACACTGCAAGAACCAATTGTTACAGTAATTGAATTTCATCAAAATTTATGAATGCTCTTCAATAATGTCAAGTTTATTGAAATCTGAACTAAAGAAACAGAACAATATTTTGAATTATGACTTAAAGAATTGTAATATATACGACTCGAAGCACTATTATTAAGAAGAAAACATAGTATACTTCACAGGAAATTAGTTTTCTAACTATTTGTGCTATTGTGAAATGCTAATGCAGGTAGTCATTTGTAAGGAATATTTTTCAGAATTTATCTTCAGTGCATTATCCAACACATTAAAAGAAGATCAGTAAAGACTTCCATAACATCACAATGGCAATGAACAAGGGTAACTGAACATAAAACTTGAAATCCTTTCTGTTACAAACTTCTGGTGACAGGCTGGGCAGTTCATTGTGCTGCTATACAACAAGAAATCTGAAAAACCTGAAGAACTATGGCGTGGTTTCCGTACAGCTTGTTATTGTTATTATTAGCTGTCATGATTTACAGTGTTGGATGAAGGAGGAAGAAGACAAAAGATGAAGTGTTGTGATAACCTGTAGGATCAGCTGGAGGGATGGATGGCTTCGAAGAGAGGAAGTGTATTTAAGTACTCCTTTAAGTCCTTCATAGACCTACGTATAAAAGCCACACCTTTAGACATAAAATTAATGCAAGTATAGAAGCATGGTTCAGCACGTAGTGCACAATCTGGCATATGCTAATACTTAAACCGACACATTATGAACATAATGCAGTAGGAATTTGCACTGGCAAGTGACTAGCAAGTGGCACTGAGTAGATCAGATAAGTAATCTCTGTACTATCCCTGCATTGATTTTATGCTCCTGTACCCTGTTCCACCTACTGCACTTCTGTTCTCTGTCCCTTATACCACATTTTTGCATGTCACCTTTCTAGAGTAAAGGCTAGAATTTGGCGTCTGCATCTCTTTAAAAACTGAAACTTAATTGCATTATAACGCCAGTTGCAATATGGCTTCAAGTGGTTGATGTATTCGTTAGATTTCTTCTGGAACAACAACAACAAAAAAATCCTGTACTGAATGAAAATGAGTTGTTAAAGAAATGTGAAAATAATCAAATGAAGGAAAACTAACGAAAAAAGTTCACAGAGCAGAAATCTGAAGAAAATGAAGTTGTTGTCATAGGGAACCAGTGCTACAGCTGAAGCAACAGTGCAGAACTACTTTCTTCAAGAAGTGTGGTAATTGGTAAGTGAAAGGGATTTTTGTCAACATCCTCATGCTCCGTTTTTCCTCTTCCTTAAATCTTTGGTAATTAAGAGTCCTACTATCTTTTTTTTATTTTATTTTTTTTTTTTTGACAAAAATGTGGGTTTTAACACCAAAGTAAAAATTTCTAACAAAGTAACAATACTGACGGGCCAAAATCAAATTATGACATAGGATATAAATATAGATCTCATCTGTTTTTATTTTGTGTTATTTTTTCTTTTTAATTAGATGAATATTGTAATAGAGAAATCTACATTGTACCGTTGTAACCAGTGTATTCTCAGTCACTGTTTGCCACAGTATTTGTCTGGGAACTGGATTATCTTGTCCAGTTGATTACCTGTTATAATTTAGCAGTTACCTACCAAGCAACTGACCTTTTTCAATAGAACGATTTGAACTATTCCTCATTTCAATGAAATGCAGCATGATGTCATCTTTGATTTTTGTTGCTACTCCACAATTTAAACTTAAAAAATATCCTTATGTTGGAAGGTAATTACAAGAACATCATAAAAATGGTCAGGATTGTGTTTAAATTTGGTTCTTCATATTAAGGGGGATGTGAGAAAACTTGCAGCAGAGAGTGTTTCGAAAATAGGCAATGATGAACATATGACAGTTTGGAATACTGAGGACTGTATATGCTTAGTATATAATTATCAATTCTAATTAAATACTTTTTGAAGAAAGTTTTTGACAAACCTAACACTGGAACATTTAATACGTTACAACTCTCCACCCTCGTCTATACCAGGGGAATTAACAGTAGGGTTATGAGGACTTGAGGATTTGATTTCTTACAGGTATGTTTTCCATGATGTGAGTTCTGTTTTAATATTATATCATGATGGTGAGCATTTTTAATTCAGTGTTCTGTTTTACTCAGGTGTCTAATAGAAAGTGTCAGAATACTTTAGCAAAGGGCCAAGACCATAAGGGAGACAAAGCCAACCCATAATGGCTGATGTTTTTTCTTAAAAGCTAAGTCCATCTCAGATTAAAGTCCTTAACTAAAAACTACTTTTGTGAATACCTTCAATTCAGGTTGCTAAAAGAATGGTCTTCCCTGTGCATTTTGCCTGGAGGACAGAACACATTCTTGCTCATATAGCAGTGTCATCTTTGCTAGGATTGATGTAAGTTATTTACAGAGGATTAGGAAATCTTGTTCTGTTTTACCAATAAACAATGTTACATTATCGCATTTCAATAGCTAATTCTATTTCTGTACCTTTTTCCTTGAAAATCAACATGATTTTCAGAGGGTAAATAATTACGTGCCATTTGTAATACATTAACTAGATTTTAAGAAAATAATCCATTGGGTGCTTATTTTCTGAGGGAGAAGTCTAGAGTATCTGCACTTCCCTCGTGGTATTTTAGTATAAAGATTTCTAGTGCTGCTATTAATCAAATGCACTCTGGTAGTTTGTGTTCCTCTTAATTGAGTAGAATTATATAGGAGCATCAAAAACATTCTTAAAGGATAGCAGAGTTAGCTGAAGAAAACTCTTGCTAGTATTAATACTGCTGAATATGAATGAGTTTAGATAATTTTTTTTGTTAGAATATCAAGATGGCACACAAACAAGTGCTATTTTTTGTGTGCATACAAGGAAATAAGAGAACATTGATGTTTCTTGAAATAGAAAATCTCCTTTTCTTTTTTTTCCCTGGAAAATACCTTCTGTCCCATTTTACAGACTGAAATTAAATAAATATTTATTTACTGCAAAATAAATATTTAAAATTATGTATACAGAGGTGATTGCAACACTGTTTTAAGATCTCAAATCTGATATTTTACCTAAGAAGCCAAATTTATTTTCAGTGTTGTAATACGTGTTGCTTCTTCAGAATCCACAGGAGTTCCAGGGTATCTTTTGTAGTGGTCAGCTTTTTATTAATGTTCTTTTCTTTTCAGTCTTTTTTTTTTTTTTTTTTCTTAAGTTTATCATCTTTAGCTCCCAAACTCTTCATGGAACACAAGTTTTTTACTCTTCTCCCTTAACTATATAAAGTACAGGCAAATTTATTTTTTTCTAATGCATTTCTGTTTTTAAATAGTGCTTGCCAAAAAACCAGTAGAGTTATGATTAATTCCTTTTGTCATAGGGGGAAAAGAAATGAAAATAAGCCATGAAAAAGCTGCAGGGTTTTTAAGTATGAATAATTTGCTGATGGTCTAGGGAAGGGATTACAGTGCTGAATACACATATCTATAAATGTTAAAACAGATTTTTTTAAACAAAACTGTACTTCAGGACATGCTTACAACAGCTAAAGTAGTTACAGAATGCATTTTATTCTTATCTTCAGACAACTTTCAAGAAAATGATGTTTCAGAAGAGTCATGTTCTTAAATCAATCTAGCCTAGTTTAATTTTAATCTTCAAAAATTAGCGAGACTTCATTTGGTTTCTAACTTAATGTTTGCAAGTTAACGTATTTCTAGGTTGTTACTGCTCCACTGCAACTGAAGTACTGATTTTTTATTTTTTTATTTTTTAAATCTGACTAATGTGCTGCATGTATCTCTGTTTCTCCTGTGGAAATAGAGGATTATAGTCTTCTAATTTGAGTGTATCGCTGAATCCTTTGTTTTTTTTCAGTGATGGCCTAACCTATCAAATTCAAAATAAGATTTTTCTATTGTTAGCAGCAGACTCTGACACAGTTTGTACTGTGTATCAGTAATTACAGTGGTGTTGTACACAGAGCAGTTCAAAAGCAACGATAGAAATTTTGCAGAGTTTTCTTGTGAAGCGATGTGTGATAGCAGACGTAGAGTTAGAAAGTAGGAAAAAACTGTCACTGTTGGTGTTAGGTGATTGTGTCACAATATCATGAGTAGGTGTTCATTTCCATCACGGAATACCAATTTACAAAGCAAGTTTTGACTTAAAGCAGACGGATGTTGAGGATATTTTTTGCTAATACTGAAAATGCTTTGTTTTCATAGCCTAAGTTGCTGGTGCTTTACTTCTTCGTCCTTCTAAAATTTGACTGATGCCTTTACAATTATGCTAAGACTTAATGCATGAACAGCCTTTGCTTTAGAGTTAGGCTGAAGTTGTGAATGTGTGACATTTGAAAAAGAAAGGCAGAGGAGAGATCTCTATTGCTGAATTTTGCTGCTCTTCCAATTTCTGAACACGGAAATATGTTGCTTGCAAATAGCTCTGAGATCTGTTATGTACATAAGCAGACCTTAACCATGGCTACCTGTTCCAAGATGGTTTTGTGATAGCTATTGTTTCAGGCAGTGTGGCAAATACTTTTTTCATCATTCATCCATTCTCTTCACCTGTCTCCCTTGAAAAACTGTTCCTTTGAGTAATTCCATTGGTAAAAATAGGATATTTTTTCCTACTTTACAGCACTACATGTATCATTAATTCCTACAAATGCTTTAAGTAGGGCTCGTAAGGTAATTACAACTTGATTTCAAGATTCTCTGAGTAGATATTTCTCCTGCAAGATTATCATAGTGGGGATTAGTTTATAAATAACAGAAGTATATGAGAAAAGAACTATCAAATGGCCTGTAATGCACTGCAAGCCAACTCAGACATGCTGACTTGATAAGAATAGGTTTATCTGAGAGAGATTTATAATATCTCATGATAGAGGGAAAGGACTATTAATGTGACTGTAACTGATGCAGGGCCCCTTGTCACTGCAAGTCACAAACTGAATAAATCAATATGATTGTAAACTTCATCATCTTGTGACTTACACAGTGTGACACTCTGGGGTGCATCTTGCTGTAAGGGTGGCAAGAGGAATTTGCTGAGAAATTTGTGATTCTAATACAGTTGTTGGTAAAACATTGCTATGCAGATTCCTAGTATCCAGCATCCGTTCAATATCTTGGCCACTTTGACCTTTGTGATGGCCTTCCTCACTGCTCTGATGCTGCTGTTTTCTGTTCTCTTCCTAATAGAGGGCATACATTTCCTGTCTAATGAGCTCATGTTGGTTTCTTTGTTACTTGCATTTCTGTACTTCAGGGTCCCCAACTTCTGTTTCATGCACTGTCTTAGAGAATACAAGGTTAGAAAGCTCACAAACTAAGTAGAAGTGTGATAAAGGCAAAACACTTCATTTTCCTGCTAACTATGGCCATACTCTTTAATCTTCAGCTGCATGAAGTAAGCTTTTTGAATTTTGCAAGTACCTGCTGTACTGCTTGAGGAACATGTGTTCAGTGCACAATATTGTAAATTAAGTATAGCTTTAGCGTTCTGCACTTCTGTGGTATTGAATTTGTTCACTGTGTTGTTTTCGTGATATCCAAAAGAAATGGACCGTGGATAGTTAAGGTGAAGCACACAAAATAATCTCTTATTTTGGTCTAGTTAATCAAAATAATTCATTATCTCCAAGAAAGAGAGACTGTAATTACTAACATACTGCCAAAAGCAGCCATTAACATAAAATCATGGGAAGAATGTTTTTTTTTTTTTTTTTTTTCAAAGAAGTGTAAAATCTTAGCTGTGGTCATAAGTTTTTCATGGTTGTTTTTTTTTTTTAAATGCAGACTACTAGTCTGATCTTAAACACTGAAGTTAACAGAGTGGTGCCATGAATCTTGATGGTGCTTCTATTTTTCTACTTGTGTATATTGGTCAGTCATTTGGAGCTACATTTTTTGTGGTATGCTGAAATTTACCCGCATAAAGGCAAACATATTTCTCCCCACCCAGTGTGTCACTGAGCATGTTTATGTAACTGCTTCCAGTTAGTAGAACACTGCAGAAGCTTTCTGAGTCTATTAGCTAAAATTATAGGAATGAAAGATTGTGGTAAAATTCCATGCATCTATAATTTATGCTCAAAATACAGCCTCTTTTCTTCATCTCCACCTTCTGTTTATAATCTCAGTATATAATATGCAGTGCCTCTTAAAAATTGACTTGATAAACAGGTGTACCACAGATGAAGTCTGTTCTGTGTATTCAATTTTGTGT